TAGTTTGTGTTTACGGCAAATTAGCGAATGCATGCTAACATGCTAAACAATGATGTGTGATCATACACGTGTAGTTACAGCCTAAGGGCACTGCTGAAGACTCTTGGTCTTGTTAGTATGTGTGTGCCTGTGTGCTGAGGAATAGAAACAAAGTTCAAATCCCAAGGCATTCTGGGCTGCTGCAGACATGCTGCATCTCTCTGCTCAGACATAACACGCTGATGATTAATTGAGCAGAGTATTGTCTTTCAGACCATTAAATCTCCACATTAAAAATGCAGCATCCCAAACACAGAACTGGGATTACAGTACACAGGTTGGCTAGCCAGCAATGTGATGTGTCATCATAGAAACCTGCTAATGTTCAGGGCACTTTTCATCTAGAGCAGGACTAGTCCGCAGTCTTTATAATATTATTTACAGAAACCTAATGATTCCAACTGTGAGCAAGCACTTGGTGACAGTGGCAAGGAAGAACTCCCTTTGAACAAGTAGATCCCTTAAGCAGAACCAGGCGCTGGGTGGGCGGCCAACTGCCTTGACCAGTTGGGTTGAGAAAGAGAAAGAGGGAGAGAGCAGGAGGAAAGAGCAGTTAGAGTAGCACATTGAAATTCCACAGAGATTTAAAATAATAGTAATGGTAATATTAACATTAATAAAAACATAGTAATAATGATAGCAATTATGTATTTAATGGTGTAGAAATTTAATCAAAATGTTGTGCAAGTAGCCAAGTCATGGCATTTACTGACTTAGATAGTCACCTTATGCAGAACCCTTGGGAACCCAGGAAGGAAGCTCAAAGTTCACAGTGTAACTCTAAACAAACCAAGGTTATTCCTAAATATACTGTGACTAGCTAGCAGCTATAAAGACACAACCTGTTAATAAGACAACTTCCATTTTGCCAGAAGGAATATATTCCTCTTCTTTTGGTCTGGCTTGAGGCTTACCACCTCCTCATTAAGCTAACACATACTGAACCAGTCTGTCCAATGAATGTGCAGAGACAACAGTGATCCGTCTCATCATCATCTCATCCAGCTGTCTTACCAGCAAACAAGCTGACTTTCCATAATGTTTTGATCAGAGGATTGCTTGGATTTGTAATACAATTACTGAATTTTAAATAGTAATTACTAACATTTGTTACAGTCATGCCTTACAGAATAACATATACTACCCAACACTGGTGATTCCAAAACAAAGGCAGAATAAAATAGGCTTTGAAATGTCCCGGTTATCCTGTGCACACCACTTGGTGAGCCACTAATTTGAGTGGATGGCAGAGAAGCAGAGAAAAATGTCTTTACATTAGTGTGGACGTGGTCTAAGAGGTCTTGCTTCCTGTGTTATTGGGGTTTTTTTTTACTCTGGGATCCAGAGCAGGTGAGGTGTTGAAACACTCTACCTGGTGCCATGTGACCAGGCTGGGTGGCTTGTACTCAGTGTCAGGCTGACAAAGGAGCTGGTGTTGTTTACCGAGCCAAATAGCCGAGAAAGCCCTACACCACCATATCACTGATACCGGCCTTTTGCTGGCCATTGTCTACAAAATTCATCGCAGCTCAGCCGTTTGACTATGATTTCACCTGAATCCCTGCCAACTAGAGCCATGGAGCCTGGATATGTCAGATGAATTATTAACACTGGTCTGGTCTTGTTAATTGTGAATGACTTCAGGGCACTGGGCAGTCCGCAGGGTCCAATCTCTCCCAGTCTCCAAAAATGTTGTTGTCATTGTTATCTTAGTAAGAAAGGTAATTCCCTCCCCTCGAGCCAAAAAAACAGGGACATTCCAGTTGGAGGTATCCATTACACAGTACGGTAATGTTCTGTAAACATACACACTTTATGCTTTTCTTACTTCTTCTTACCTCCATGCTAATGTGGAAACAGATGAAAAACCCCTTTCTCTTTGATTCAGTTCCTCTATCCACAATAGCTTTTTTTCAAAAACACCCCAGAGTGAATAAAAATTCCTTGGTCATATTGTATTGTGGACATGTGACTTCACACACATAAATATCAAACCTGACGATGGCAATTGACTGAGCTGCAACGATTAATCGATTGGTTGCCAACTATTTTGATAATCTATTCATTTTAAGTAAGTAAAAAAGTCAAGTCTTAAATGTAAATATTTTCAGATTTCTTTACTCTTTGACAGCAAACTGAATATCTTTTTGGTTGTGGACAAAATTAGACATTTGAGAAAGTCATCTTGGGCTTTGGGAAACACTAATCCACATTTTTTTTTTTTTACTATTTTCTGAAATTTTATAGACCAAACAACTAATTGAGAAAATAATCGTTAGTTCCGGCCCTAATGGCGATAGATCAGAATTTCATTGAACCATTAATTTGGACAACAGAACAGAGTTAAAGTAAAAATGCACTCAAACAGTTGCTGCAGCTCGCCGCTGAGCAGCAGTGTGGGAAAGAGGAGAGTGCTGCATGCAGCTGAATGTGCTCCATGCCCGTCAGTCAAGCCTCTTATCTTTTAGGTGAGTCCATCAAGTGATCCACTGCTTTCCACTTGAATAGCATAACATTTTACTGGTGATATATTACACTCTGCTAAGAAAGCAGACTTCCGTTGTGATGTCAGAGATTAGTTTGGAAGTGGCATGTTGAGACAGTGGGGAAGTCTCATACATGCTGCTGATAGTAGTGTGGAAAACAGGTCACCATAAAACCTCAAATGAAATTGTTTTGCATGTTTTAGATGTTTTACCACAAATCAGATACTGTATCTATCTTCTAAACCATACACCATAGTATATTTGATTTTGTTTTCTTCCAGGCCATAACTGCTTTGTTTTGTCAGTACAGTATGAAAACCAAACATGGCTAATTTGGTGACTATTGTAAGGTAATGCAAACTTTTTCAACAGCATCTGTTAAATTACTACACATTTGGTGCTAGCGTGTATTTACTTACTTTAATACTTAGCTTAGTTTTTTTCCCCCTAAAGGATAATAGTTCATCAAAACATGGATCTTATTTTTGTAATTTTTGACATCATTGCTATCCGTCATGATGACATTGAGTAATACATCAGATCTGGGAACACAGTGATATCACTAAAAACAAGTAAAGTAACAGTCTGATGATCACACAAACCCGAACGGTAAGTTTTGTACCCAAACCTTCCATTGCAAACACAAGTTTACAGACCCACTTTCTGCTCAACCAGAAGTTGTGTGCACAGTTTTCCTGTGAAATGAGAAATTATTGGTGGCATTTGAGGTCCACTCACTTTCAGTTTGACTGGACGGGACTATATGTGGACAAGCGGATGGCGCAAGCTAGCTTGTTTATTAGCAAGTTGCATCTGTAATTCATGTTAACTGTAATATTAATAGTGATGCTAATTTTGGCTAGCTTAAAAACAGGCTTAAAACAAAATGTACTTACTGGAAAAATTAACAGCCGGCTCCGAATGGTCAAATGTACACATTGCTGTGGATACGAGGCACCTTTATCCTGATTGACAGGTCGCCATGGTAGCAACTTAGAAAGAATGCAGCTTTAAGGCACTTCCTCATTAGCCTTACTTTCCAGATTTTGCTGCTTGGTTTGTATCTGTCTGATTGCTGGTGTTGCTTGACCTGTTGTACTGATCTCATTGTGTTCCTAGATCTCAGCAATTCATTTGGAGAGTACAATCAAAGTCCTTATAGGCAAATCATGCCACTCGGCAGCCATCTTGGCAACGCCTCCAAGCAGCTATTTCGGACTAACAAGACCAGGCTCCTATCTGAATGAATGGGGAGAGAGCCAGAACAGCACTTTCACTGGTCACCGGGACATAAAAACTACATGAATAGGATCAGCAGTAAAATCTAATAAAAATTGCTGGAAAAGTTTTACGACTTTGCCCCAAAACAAAAAGCGTTTTTTCCGGCGGTTATATTTCTACAACGCATGCGTCCCTACTACTACGCATGCGCAGTAGAAGAATCACAGACCCTTACGTCAGTGGAACAACACAGTGAAAATATGTTTCCCACTTTGGCTGTTAAAAGCAGACAGCTGGCTTTTTAGCAGGCGGGGCGGGATAACAGCCATCTTTGCCGTTATAGGCTTTCCCCATAGAGTTGTATTGAGGGTGTGATTGAGTGGCGTGTCCCCTCTATAAAACGTCTCTGGTACAATATTATCATATCTAAGAGAAAGCCAAAGCTACAAAAATAAGACCAAAGTTGCAATAACTCGGAATGGAAAATAATGGCTGCCTAGAAGGCATGGAAAAGCTCCAATAAACAGTGCTGTGCTGGAATTTTGATGAAAGGGCCACAGTAGGGCTTTTTGATTTTTTTATAACATTCATTACAAACAGAAGGGCTGTAAAATTATAGAATTTTCTGAACATCACAAACACCTTGAAGTGTCTCTTCAGCCCCTTTTAAACTGGACAAACCCCCCCACAAACACCCACTAACATCTGGCTTTTGTCTTCAGTGTGAAAGGGTACAATCTGCATCCACTCCCGGGTCACAGCTCTGCAGTGGCCATGGATGTTAATCCGCTCCAGCTCTGATCAGCAGTGATGTAAACCTGCACAACTCATTCATCTGTTTCTATCTGTCTTTAAACATCTTGATTGATTTTTGATTGAGTATTAGCATGCTATGCTAACAGTCCGTCAGCTGTAATTTTGTATCCATGGTGTGATGTCTTTCAGAGCACACAAATACCTTAAACACACCTGTCACCTGCCCGGCATGGTGCTGTTAACCAGAAACCAGAATTAACTGTTAACCAGAATGTGTGCATAACCAGAATTATTGTGAATACATCCACGGGAAAAACACATTCAAACATCTTAAATACTAGTGAGGCCCCCTAGCACCATAAAATGCGTGCGAGAGTAAATGTCACTTTTTATATTAGCTGATCAGATGTTTTATTTAAAATGTTCATGTCATGTATGTCATGAAGTGATGATCAGGAAACAGAGAGATTATATTGCTCCTAATTTATGTCTTCACAGAAAGCAGAGGCACCCGGGGAGAAAAGACCCAGGGGGCGACCAAGGAAATGGGTGAGTCAGTGGTTCTCTTAAGTTCTGAGCTTGTGTCTGCTGCTGGCATGCTGGATACTGGAACACACATACACAAGAGGGGCTGTGAAGAATTAGCTGTGCCAATTGATGAAATCTGTATGTGGCAGGAGGTAATATGCATGGCAAAGCCTGACAGAGATAAAGAAACATTTGAGCGAGCAATGTTATTACTAAACATTTGTTTCTTATCTCTAAAACACATTTTGTTACACGCTGAGGTCTACCAGTAGGTATATTACCAGGTTTAATACATATTGAGATGGACTCACTGTCTGAACATTTTGTGTTAATTCCTCATTATTAACTTTCATTATTTGGCCTGAATACATTCAGAGGGTCCTCCCTGGTTGATGCTGGTGTGTACAGAAGTTCTGTGAAGCAAGAAAAATAATGCTGTGGTGGTTTTCACAGATGAAAAGTAACTTAGAAAAATTATCCATGCTAATTATTTTCCCCACACCTGTTTCAAAGATGAAAAAAAATTATGCTGCTTTCCCATTGTTGTCAGCTCACCTCGACACGCCTCTGCTCGACTCGCTTTTGGTGTCCTGTCCTTTGTTTTCCACTGCAGCTAGTACCCCCTAAATGTAGCTGGTCGTCATAGCAACGCTGCACGAAACTGCCGTTACGTAATCTTGTGTTAAGCCCCTTTTCCACTGCATGGTACCAGCTCGACTCGCCTCGACTCTACTTGCCTTTTTTTGCTTTTCAATTGTGGAAAAGTTGTGCCTGTACCTGCTACCAGGAGGTTCCAAACAAGCTGAGGCGATACTAAAATGTGACGTGAAAACACATCAGACTACTGAATGGTAGAATGAGAGAATCGTCACTTTAACTGCATCGTCATTGCATGAGGCCAGCGACAAAAGTTCTATATTTTACAATTTTCGTATGTTATTTCATCACTAAATCCACGTCTGAGAAGTTCTGAGGTGAGAAATCAGCTGTGTAGATTTCGAATATTGACAGTTTTGCGAAAAGTGATGGCGGAACATGAATTTGTTTGAAAGTTTTCGTAGTTGAGCTGGTACTGGTAATGGAAAATGAGGTAGTATAATGAAAAGACACACGATTCAAGTTCATAACAAGTTTAATAACAAACCATCACGTTCTTAAAAGAACGTTCTTAAAAGGAACAAAACATAAAAATGCAACAGTTTGGCAGGTCTGGGTGAACCTCAGGTCCAACGGCATAAAAGTTCTGTTGAGTGTTACCTGTTTTACATGAGCGCCGACTGACAATGTAAACATTTCCAGAAAACTCTTACCCTGTCAAGAGGTCAGCTCGCTGACAGCCAGTGTCCAGCGAAGAGGCACTCACTTTTAGGATGAAACTGCTTTATTCAGTGTTTTTAATGTTTTCATGACAGTCTGTTTGCTTTGGAGAGGAGATGGCCTCTGCAGTAATTTTGGCTCCTGGTAGAAACCTCCTGAACGGTCAATCTTCAAAAAAAAAAGAAACTGACCACCTAAACTAAACTAACATTAGCAGCAGCAGGTCTGCTAGCTAGGTTATTTCTAACACCTGTTTTGTAGTGGATTCTCTCTGACCAATGAGTAGTCTGCCGCGTTTTCATGTCACCTTTTGGTATTGCCTCAGCTTGCTAGGAACCTTGACGGTGATACTAAAAAACCTACCAGTGGAAAACCAAAATCTGCCCAGTGGAAAACCAAAAAAAGCGAGTAGAGTTGATGCGAGCTGAGCTAGTACCATCCGGCGGGTAAGGGGCTTTAGAACAAGTGTCCCAGCAAAACCTATTTTCCACCTTTTCTTAAGTCATGAACACAGGAGAGAAAACAATTTAGATCAGACTTAGGAGGGTTTTTTTTCTCACTTGCCTCTCAGGGCTTCTGTAGATGTGTGTGTGTGTGTGTGTGTGTGTGTGTCCGATATGTTTGTGTTATCAGTCAAAGAAAATGTTTACTCTCCACGCTGACCGCAGGAATACTTAAGTAATTCCACTGATAGCTTGAAGGCCTCAGTATTTATCAGGTCCACAGTAACAGGCCTGATTGATTGTTCAAGGAAAAGCAGGAAGGGTGAGGAGAGATGCGGGGAGTGTGAACTCTCTCCTGCATACATCATGTCAGCATTTTTATGTGTCAAAGGGGGGAAAAAAGAAGTGAAAGCCTACAAGAAGGTGGAGAGTCATAAAGTGTGTATGTTATATTTATTTTCATTTCCTGGAAGGAAAGGTGTGTTCCGAGAATCATCTGTTAGCATATTTAGTATATTCCCCACTGTCCACACTCTGCTGGTTTTATGGTGCGAGCTCTTGCTGTGACTTATCAGCTCCATGCAGCGGCTTTAAAGTCTACAGCTCTGTTCACATGCATGTGCTCTGAATTCTCAGCCTTTATGGCCACAGCTTCCAGGACGACACCGTAGGCTTTATGTCAAGTCTAATGTCTTTGGAGTAACTCACAGTAGCTCACAGTAGCATGCACTGGACAATGACACTTTAAAGACCAGGCAACCCAGGTGGACCACACTGCCAAACCAAATATTAAGTCCTCCATTCTTTGCAACCTGTGCACATAACAAACTATTTAATATAAACCACATTCCTTTACCAAACTTAAAGGAACATTCCATCTATTACATCATGAGAAAATAGTATTTCCACATGGTGTAATGGCCATCAAACACTGCTCTTTGATATTAATACATAGAGTACATAACAAATCTGCTCAGTAAAAAGTTGGTGGGACTGCTGAATACTGTTCATTAGCCTAGAATACTTCATCTAAGCTAACAGGAACTTATTTCAGTTTAGCCAAACAAGTTATGTACGTGGATAACTTGCTGATGTACACTTGCATGTGCTTTTATTGCTTTATATGTACTGTCATCAGGGCATCCTTGAAAAAGAGAGCTTGCACTCAATGGCCTTCCCTGTTTAAATACAATCGCCTTTCAGAGCTGAGAAAGTTTAGAACCATACTGCTATGCAAATGATCATATAAATGTTGAAAATGTTTGAACTGTAGTGCCGAAGATCTGTATATTATGAGTAAGAAAAGACAGGGTTAGGGTTATCAAACAGTTCTTTTCTCACACACTGTAAACTACACTGCAGTTCAAACTATTATATGGTAATTTGCATAGCAATAGAGACTGACTGAATCACTAAAACTTTCTTATACTGAATATTTTGAGAACATAGTTTGGTAGTTTTGTTTATTATAACTTTTTTTGTTTTTTATTATTCAGGTTGCATTTGTTTGTTATATTATAGAGACTGGTCACCTGACTGGCAACCACCCCACCTTTTGCTATTTGGGCGAAGGTGGGGGAGTTTCAGTAAATGTTGAGATAGTCTTTTGAGCAAATTTATAGCATGAATGGATTTTTTGTTTTGTTGCTTTGTGAAGTCATAAGTGTGTGTGTGTGTGTGTGTGTGTGTTAAATTAATAAATCAGATTTTTCAAGTTCTTAAAAGTGTGTTGGAACGACCACTTTTTCAGTGCCTGGCACTTTTAATGTCGAAAAGCTGACACACAGCCGAGCAGAAAGAATAAAACACAGTCGCTGGCTGATATTTTGAGGAGTTCGATCAAATGCAGTTATCAATACAGTGCGGTTTGGCTCGACAGTGTGAATTTCATAGGCTATATTTAATAACAACATAAGCTGAAATACCAGGTGATACAGCTACAATTACTACTACCGATTAATGCATTTATCCTACCCCTTAACGCTCAGTCCAGGGCACAAACTGTGATAGGAATCTAACGGGTCCTGGTGTATACTGCAGTACACTGCCATTTTTTGTGAAAGAGTTTTTGGCCTGTATTGAGAACTCTGGTGAGCAGTAGGTAGGTTGTGACCTTTCAGTCAGCTGGTGGAGTGTCTCTATCATTGGATTTGAATTTGGGATATTCAGCGTCATGCACTGTTTATACGGCTGTACCTAGACCACGGTCAATCCCTCATCTGTATGTCTTCTTGGTCTTTCCCACAGCTCCTGTCCTCTGTGTGCAGGTGCTGCGTTAGATACATGGTTGTGGCAACAGCTTGAAGGGGGACTCTGTTCTCCAATAGATTTGCAATATTGTCTTTATTACGATCATGCCAATAACGCTAGTTGAACTGAAATTGAAATTCAGTTGTGCACAGCAATCCACCTGCCAAATGGCTGCTGTCCATTGGATTTTATATGTTCCTCTGCATCAAGCTAAATGCCTTCACAACATGGCAATAACAATGAGAATTGTAAAAACAAATCTCGAAACAAAATTTAACAATCTTATTGAAACTACTGACAAGGAAATACCACAGTAATAGAGGTTATTATTGGTTACAGGTCAGGTAAAATCCCTCGTTACAGTAATGTTTTATCAGCTTGAAATTCAACTAATCCATGCTCGTTACATGATAACACTACACTGACTGCATTAAGCCGACGTGATACATCGGCGATAGCTCCCCCCATCTTTCAATGTGAGCACAACCAAATGTATTGAATGATAACGAAACGGTTACTGAACTAGACTGAATATTATAACAAGATTGTTGCCACACTGTATAACATTAGACCACAGTAAGTAACATTACTGTAGGGAATGGGTCTTCCATGGTATTGTTGTGCTGCACCGTTATGTTGCATTATTGTATGTGGGTCATGAAAGTTACACCTGAGAAATGTTACGATAACACTAAATCCAAATTAAACACTAAGAAGCAAACAACGACAGATCATGCTAAAGATCTCGCTGTCTTGTAAATGTTCCATATTTGTGTAGCACCTTTCTAGTCTTTTCGACCACTCAAAGTGCTACATCACATTCACACACTAAGTAAATAACATTCATTCACATTCACACACTGGTGGAACAGCCACAGCCCAAATTCAGGGTTCAGTATCTTGCCCAAGGACACTTCGACACGCAGCCTGGAGGAGCCAAGGATTGAACCGATGACCTTCCGATTAACAGGCAACCCGCTCTACCTCCTGAACCACTATACTTAAGCCAGT